CAAGGCAGTTAGTGGTCGGCTATTGAGTAATCCTGAGATTTGAGTAAAGATCGTTTCCCATTCAACGAAGGTGAGCTTGGACCATATGTCGCATCTACTTCTTGATCTCCTGGACCATTCTTTCTACAGTACCTTGGTGATGGGGTCATCCAGGAGGTCCAAACATCCATTCCGTATTAAACTTTACACCGTTAGACCGAACCTGTGACTGGTCTAAGTGTAGTTGTAACTCACTGATCTCATTATCTGCTTTCCGGAAGCACGTAGCGTTGTCACTTATGATAAGTCTGGGAGCTCCACGAATACTAACAAAGCGTTTAAGAGCCTGGATAAAAGCTTGCGTCGACAGATCTTGAACACAGGTGAGATAAACTGCTCGAGTTACAGTACATGTTAAAACTGCACAGTAGCCCTTGGTGACCGTATTACAAGAAAGTTTGACATTAACTGGTCTCAGATAGTCTACTGCAGTTGTCAGGAAGGGCGGAGTACACATTTTGACTCTGAAGTCAGGCAGGTCAGCCATTCGTTGTTGTAGGGGCTTTCCTTTATAGCGTCGACAAACTGTGCATTCCCAAACGACTCGACGCCATAAGTTAGTATCACCTATGATCCAATAGTTCTTTCGGACTTCAGTAGCAGTTCGAAGATGTCCACAGTGGAGAGCATGTCGGTGTCTCTCACGGGCAATCAGCAGACTGATGTAGCTCTTCTTTGGGAGAAGGTATGAATGCCGTATCATATGAGAGGGGTGCTCTGTGGATGCGACCACCAACTCTGTACATCTTCTCTTTCACGTCTAGGAAGGGATACAACTTTATTATCTGGTGATTGTTGAAGTTTATGTCTTTCTGGGCCTGTCGGATCCAGTATGTCTCAGCTTCTTTGATCTGCTTCATGGAAGGCCACTCACATAGTTTTGTCGTCATCTGCTTCAACCATAGGCATTTCGGCAAGTCTTTTAAGGACAATATTCGCGCAGTTACCATGAGGAGTCTGGTCCAACTTGAGAACTTCTTCGGATCAACTATTGGCTCGTCAGTTGTCAAGTTAACTGCAAGAACTTTGGCGTTCTTTACATGGAATTTCTTCTGTTCGATGTCATCTTTAACAACTGGAATGTTGATTGGTGTGACTGGCCACATGTCGGGTGTATGTCTTAGATAGACAGGCCCTTCGATAACTTTCAGCATGTCGTCGGCTTTGACCCCTTGTGAGACCAGATCAATAACATTGTGTTCACTAAGAACGTAGGCTATGTCTTTGATAGGGTCAAATTCTGTGGTTATCTCAACGACACAGCAGGCCACATATAAGGGGAAAGATTTTGACTGACCACGGAGCCAACCTATAGCAGTAATACTGTCTGTCCATATCTTTGTGTAGTCGATAGTAAGTCGCAGAGCATTCTTTACAGTGGACATCAGGCGGGACAGGAGTAGAATAGCTTGTAGCTCTTTACGAGGCATGCTGGACTGTTTCAGCGGGGTAAGTCTTGCTCTTGCACATACAAAGGTCACGTCACCACAGCCATCTTCTCCGTCTGTCCATCTCAACCATACCCCTATTCCCATGGCATCTTTAGAAGCATCGCTAGCCCCGTGTAGGGAGACCTTTGGCAGTGATTTCTGGCCATGGTACTTGCGTGGTATAAGACACCGTCGGATTTCGATCTTGTTGAGGTCTGTGAGGTCATGTTCTATTACTTCCCACATAGTGTAGAGATCACTCTCACGGCTGATAGGAGTATCCCAATCGATGTCGAACTGCCACAGTTTCTGTAGCAATATCTTTGGTCGAACTAGCACTCCAGACAGCATCCCAAAGATGTTATAGTAAGAATCAGTTCTTTTCAGGATATTTCTCTTTGTCAGTGTGAAATTTCCCAACTTCACATCTCTCACACTCAGAGTGTCGCTGTGTAGATCCCGCTGGGTACCAAGTACTGATGCTTTGCCATCAACAGGATAATAGACTATAGTCAGTGTCGCAGAGCTCTTGTTCGTTCGACAGCCATTTCCGAATTCTGAAGTTACCCTTCTCTAAGGCAGTGGTGAGGTTAAACTTCAGATGTTTTACATCGTCAAGAGATTTCTGGGAATCACTCAGGTCGTCAACATAAAATTGGTTGGTAATGACACTCTGAATCTCTGAATCATCTGGTGCGTTTGCTGCAGCAACATGACGGAGGGCGATAGTAGCAGCTGTTGGTGATGATTTATCTCCAAAGATACCGTGTCAGCTCGTATGACACCTCGATTGGGTCCTCTGGATTCTGTCGAAACACATAACGGTGGTACCTTGCATCATCAGGTGCCATCTTAACAGCCTGGAAACTTTTTCCTTTTATCAGAAATCACTCCAACTTCATACTCTCTGAAGCGTAGGGCAACGTCAAAGAGATTGCTATTCATGTTATCATCTTTGGCTAGATAATCGTTGAGAGAGTGTCCCTGGTATCGTGACTTTCCATCATAGACTACTCGTACTGGGGTGGTCGTGTCTTTCAGTACACCAAAGTGTGGGAGGAACCACATGTTTCTACCATTGTTTATGTCATCTGCCATTTCGTTTTGGAATACAAGTCTTGCGACGCCTCGGGAAAGTTGGTCATTCATCTGTTTACAGTAGGTTCCCCATTCCTTTGGACGGTTTCGGAACTGTTTCTCGAGGTTTAGGAGCCGCTTGATAGCATAGTCATAGTTATTTGGGAGTTCTTCCGGTGACTTTCTCCAAGGTAGGCTGATCTCATATGTTCCATCATTCAAGATGATGACACTCTGCTGCATGGAATCTGTCGCCAGCTTGTCCATCTTCTCAGCTGCACATTTACATTTCTTCGGTTCGATCCTTATGCGTTCGATACCCAGAACGTCCTCTATCTCACTGATGGCAGTGACTTGGGTGAAGGTTACAGCGGTGTTCACTATAGCTTCGTTATCTCCTCTGCCACCTTGCAGATACCAGCCAAGGGAACATCTAGAGGCAAATGGATCGTCGTAACTTAGGCCCACAGCATGTTCTATCGGAGCATGTATGTCACCATTCTCCACACCCAGCAGGACATCTATGGTTTCATGTGGGGGCTCTACAATCTCAATATCAGCGAGGTGAGGGTATTTCTGTATGTGTGAGTTCGTGATGACTGGGACATCGCCACATGGTTTCTTCATTTCTGTCAGTCGAACTTGACAATAGAATGTCCCACCTAGCCTCTCTAAGACACACTCCATGACACGGAATTTTCGATTGATGACATCGCCTCCGACTGTAGTCAAACTGTAATTTTGCATGTGTTCTCTCGTTGACTTCGGTACTATTCCCTCACGTATCAGTGATATTTAGCTACCTGTGTCGAGGAGGGCTCGTACGAGGGTCTTCTTGTTACCGTGGCAGATATATGCCATGACTGTAGGCAGAACACAGGAGATCCTTTCCTTTGACACTATGGAGGACTCACCGGTGATCTGGTAAGAGTTATTCTGTGTCGGACGGAATTCACGGGCACTGGTATTTTTAGTCTCTAATATTTCCAGAATTGCCTGATCTTCTTTCGAAATGTCTATAGCCTTCTGTGCCATACACACGTGGACAAATAGATGCGAAGTGTGTATCTGCACTACAGGTTGGGATTGAACATAGCAAGACAAACTGACACTCATCGTAGTTATATGGATATTTACTAGCAACACAGTTGTTATGTCCACATCGTTGGCAGATATTGTTTGTCTTCATGAGGTCAAGTTTCTCTCCTTGCGACAATGAGCGAAACTTATGGCAACCCTTGATAAAGTGGTTGGAGCTTCAAGGGTGCAGAGGACACTTCACCGGAAACTGGTCACCACCACCATTCCTACTAGAGCTGTAATTGCATTGGCGATTTCCACCACTACCACCAGGGGACATCGTTGAATGATTTGAAGATCTGTTGAACTTCACTGGTTTTGAGGTATTCTCAGTAGAGCTGGTCGTAGGATTTCTAGCCTTTTGTAGGAGTACCAAATGCGAGTGCAACCACTGGACGAGACCGGATATTGAGTCGTCCGCATCTTCGTTGTCACGGACATCTTTGAGGTATAAGACTCGATGCTCTTCTGGCAACTTACGACGTACTTGGGCTAGGACAACCTTACTGTTTAACTCACTCTTTATTCCGAGTGACTCTATCTGGGTTGAGAAATCTTGTAGCGACAAATTTCTCCATGGCATTCAAGTCGACTTTTCCTTTCCTCTCATAATTGTCAATATTTTCCATATCGGCGATCAGAGTTTCGATGAACTGGTCCTCGTCACCGTAAGCTTCATCCAGAAGCTCCCACGCCTCGTTGACATGACTACATCCTTTGATTTGATTTTCCTCTTTGGCTTTCTCCATAGATTCTACCAGTTGGAAGAAGCATTCAATGTCATCTAGGTTTTTGGAGAAATGGAGAAATAGTTTCTTCAATCTTCTAACGATAGTAGCAGCTGTTGGTGATAATTTATCCCCAAATATTACCGTTGTCAGCTCGTACACCTCGATTGGGTCCTCTGGATTCTGTCGAAACACATAACGGTGGTACCTTGCATCATCAGGTGCCATCTTGACAGCCTGAGAACATCTTGCTTATGTCAGCAATGACTCCTACCTCGTACTCTCTAAAGCGTAGCGCAACATCGAAGAGATTCAAGTTCATGTTGTCGCCCTTAGCAAGATAGTCGTTCAGCGAGTGTCCTTGGTATCTTGCCTTACCATCATAGACGACACGGACAGGCGTAGTCTGAGAGTCTTTCAGTACAGCAAAGTGGGGAAGAAACCACATGTTTCTATTGTTTATGTCATCTGCCATTTCGTTTTGGAATACAAGTCTTGCGACGCCTCGGGAAAGTTGGTCATTCATCTGTTTACAGTAGGTTCCCCATTTCTTTGGACGGTTTCGGAACTGTTTCTCGAGGTTTAGGAGCCGCTTGATAGCATAGTCATAGTTGTTTGGGAGTTCTTCTGGTAACTTTCTCCAAGGTAGGCTGATCTCATATGTTCCATCATTTAAACTGATGACACTCTGCTGCATGGAATCTGTCGCCAGCTTGTCCATCTTCTCAGCTGCACATTTACATTTCTTCGGTTCGATCCTTATGCGTTCGATACCCAGAACGTCCTCTATCTCACTGATGGCAGTGACTTGGGTGAAGGTTACAGCGGTGTTCACTATAGCTTCGTTATCTCCTCTGCCACCTTGCAGATACCAGCCAAGGGAACATCTAGAGGCAAATGGATCGTCGTAACTTAGGCCCACAGCATGTTCTATCGGAGCATGTATGTCACCATTCTCCACACCCAGCAGGACATCTATGGTTTCATGTGGGGGCTCTACAATCTCAATATCAGCGAGGTGAGGGTATTTCTGTATGTGTGAGTTCGTGATGACTGGGACATCGCCACATGGTTTCTTCATTTCTGTCAGTCGAACTTGACAATAGAATGTCCCACCTAGCCTCTCTAAGACACACTCCATGACACGGAATTTTCGATTGATGACATCGCCTCCGACTGTAGTCAAACTGTAATTTTGCATGTGTTCTCTCGTTGACTTCGGTACTATTCCCTCACGTATCAGTGATATTTAGCTACCTGTGTCGAGGAGGGCTCGTACGAGGGTCTTCTTGTTACCGTGGCAGATATATGCCATGACTGTAGGCAGAACACAGGAGATCCTTTCCTTTGACACTATGGAGGACTCACCGGTGATCTGGTAAGAGTTATTCTGTGTCGGACGGAATTCACGGGCACTGGTATTTTTAGTCTCTAATATTTCCAGAATTGCCTGATCTTCTTTCGAAATGTCTATAGCCTTCTGTGCCATACACACGTGGACAAATAGATGCGAAGTGTGTATCTGCACTACAGTTTGGGATTGAACATGGCAAGATAAACTGACACTCATCGTAGTTTTATGGATATTTACTAGCAACACAGTTGTTATGTCCACATCGTTGGCAGATATTGTTTGTCTTCATGAGGTCAAGTTTCTCTCCTTGCGACAATGAGCGAAACTTATGGCAACCCTTGATAAAGTGGTTGGAGCTTCAAGGGTGCAGAGGACACTTCACCGAAAATCGGTCACCTTACCACCATCCCTACTAGAGCTGTAATTGCCTTGGCGATTTTGACCACTACCACCAGGGGACATCGTCAAGTGATTTGAAGATCTGTTGACCTTCACTGGTTTCGAGGTATCCTCAGTAGAGCTGGTCGTAGGATTTGTAGCCTTTTGTAGGAGTACCAAATGTGAGTGCAACCTCTGGACGAGACCGGATATCGAGTCGTCTGCGTCTTCGTTGTCGTGGACATCTTTGAGGTATAAGACTCGATGCTCTTCTGGCAACTGACGACGTACTTGGGCTAGGATAACCTTATTGTCTAACTCACCCTTTATTCCGAGAGACTCCATCTGGGTTGAGAAATTCTGTAGCGACTCAACAAATTTCTTCATGGCATTCAAGTCGACTTTTTCTTTCCTCTCATAATTGTCAATATTTTCCATATCGGCGATCAGAGTTTCGATGAACTGGTCCTCGTCACCGTAAGCTTCATCCAGAAGCTCGTACGCCTTGTTGACATGACTACATCCTTTGATTTTATTCTTCTCTCTGGCTTTCTCCATAGATTCTACCAGTTGGGAGAAGCATTCAATGTCATCTAGGTTTTTGGAGAAATGGAGAAATAGTTTCTTCAATCTTCTAAAATCACGAATGTCGCCGGTGAAAGTAGGAAACTTTAGTTTCGCCATACGTGGTGATGTCAGTTGTACAGCAGGACGTTTCGGTAAGGAAGGTGGATCACCAGGCCTGGGGACTGGCATAGAACTTTCAGCCATTCGGAGTAGTTCGTACATAGCCGGTAGGGTCCTCTCCCTGATCTCGTCATAATAAGTCTCCTGCTCATCAGCTATCTGTTGCTCAGCCTGTTCTATGGCCGCCGCATCAGTATCGAGCACTTTGTGGTCGAGGTCCTGGCATTCAAACTTTATGACATTTTCATTAGCAAGCTGTAGGTTCTGCAGTTGTTTTCTGATGTTCTCAGCATGCATTTTATATTCTGTGTGTGGAATACCATATCCCGTAGTCAGTAGGGCCGGCTTTAGCATCTTTGACACGACCGGTAACTTTACGTTTAAGTGTAGCTCGGATAGTCTTGGCCTCCTTGACAGTGGCCGGTAGTGTCAACGTTTCACTATTATTCTTAGACATGTCGGTCGTTTTCACCGAATTTTACACGAATCGGCGATATCAGTAGGCATGAAGTCACAAAGATTCGCGATTGATAGACTATGTACTTAT